ACTACTACTACTACTACTACTACTACTACTACTACTACTACTACTACTACTACTACTACTACTACTACTACTACTACTACTACTACTACGACTACTACTACTACGACTACGACTACGACTACGACTACGACTACGACTACGACTACGACTACGACTACGACTACGACTACGACTACGACTACGACTACTACGACTACGACTACGACTACGACTACGACTACGACTACGACTACGACTACGACTACGACTACGACTACGACTACGACTACGACTACGACTACGACTACTACTACTACTACTACTACTACTACTACTACTACTACTACTACGACTACGACTACGACTACGACTACGACTACGACTACGACTACGACTATACAACGGAGACTACGACGACGACGCCGCCGCCGACGACGACGACTACTACTACTACTACTCCTGCTGCTGCTGCTGCTAGAGCTGGGATGCTCTTTCTAGACAAGGCGTGCCGCTGGTTGATCCAGGCGACGGCGGGGGGGGATCTCCCCCTGACCGCCTTACCTCTGTCCGCCGTCCCGGCCTCCCTCCTCCTTCCCGATCCATCGTCCCAGATCCCCCCTTTCGAAGCGGGAGGTGGGTGCCCTAACACGCTAAAAGGACAACCCTAACCCTAAGCCAATAACCCTAACACCCTACACGTTGCACCAGCATGCGACGGAGCGCGCCCCCCGATTTTCCACCGCCAAGGGCGCGGGGGCCCTCCTCCCCCCTTGTGAAAGGAGGGAGAGGGGAAGGGGTTTTAAGCAGAAAGACACCCTTGAGAGGGGAAGGAGGGGGTTGTGGGGGGTTCGCCAGCACCCCCCACTCTCATATTAATACGACAGAGGGGGGTGCCCAATCTACTTTGGGATCCATCACTGCTTCTACTGCTTCTGCGGCCCAACAGAACCTACTACCACGACTACCACCTACCAACCAGTCGTTGAACAGTATCACGCTGAACGCCCAAGGCCGTCTGAAATTCACCAAGGTTGGGGCTGCTTCTGCCCAACCCCTTTCTGGGGAAGGCGGCTGTGCCAGGCTGCGAAGGGGTATGGAAGTGGAGGGGGAGGTGTGGCATCGCAGGTGTCAAAACGGGTAAGTCAAGATGGGAGTCAAAAGTGTACCCAAAAAAAACTCTGGACGTCGCCAAGGCAACTCGACGTAGGCTTCCACGACGACGCAGAAGGGCCCCGGGAACCCCGGGGAGGCCCCGAGGGGGACCCCCCAAGAGGCGCGCGCGAGAGGCCCCGAGCGGCCTCAAAGGAGGACCCTCACGACCAGAGTACCGAACACGTGTGCATGCTCTTCTCGATGGCGTTGCCTCCCCAGACGCCCCAGAGGGCACCAGAGTGGCCTGGCGCCTCCAGGGCGCAACGGCGGCCAGAGAACTAGCTCGAAGGGATCGTTCTGACAATCTCCCGGCGCTCTCAAGTGACTCTGTCTCGCCGCGGGTCACGCCTTCGTATGGCGGTGCGCAAGTCGGCGTCGTCCTGGGGGGGGGAGAGATTTCGTGCGCCCACAACCGACCTCTCCTCGGATCCCCTCCTCTGATACCATCTGGGTCATGCCTTGTCCATCTCAGAACGCCTAATCCGTTATTTTTTTCACTCAGGAGCTCCTGAAACGTTCCCTGCCCCTCCTCTCCCTCTCTACACGTGCGCTGGTATTTACTTTTCAGTCTGCCAACCCCGTCAGTTTTCCACCCTGAGCCGTCCCCGCGCCCCCATGGCCTTGTCCTCGCTGGAAATGATGTAACAGTGGGCCCACAATATTTCGAATACGCCCACCCTCCACTTCCCGTCCTGAACGGCCTCAGAACCCCCACCTGGCGCCCTCCTCGGTAGACATCCTCCAAACATGTTTTGGAAATCCCCACCCGCAACCTGCACAATCTTGACTTCAGAGCCTGTTTCGAGCCCTTCCCTGGCCCTCCCTTCGTCTGAAATCCTCTGCCTCTGGAATTGCATCTCGTCTGAAATCCGGCACTTCTGAACTCAAACTGTTGACTGCCATTCCCCAAATGCGACTCCCATAATGCCATTTTTGCAAGCCCCTCGCTTCTTCCGATTTCTGTCCAGAGCCGACACGGGTACCCTCCCGTCCCACTCCTCCACGCCCACACCTCGCCGGAGATCTGCCGTACCAAGACGCTCCACTTCCCGCCCAGAACCACCCCCCGCCGGTCTCCTGTTCCTGTTCCTCCCATCGTCTCCCGATCCCCGTCTGATCTCCCTAACCTCTACGGGTCTACCTCTAAGAGTCTTGAGACCGCCATTAGTGGGAACTAAACTTATTTTTCGGCGCCCTTATTGACGGACTGGGGTCCCACCAATAGTGGAGAATTATCATTTCTCCGCGGCACCCGCCGCGCAACAACGACGACGACGAGATGAAGAAGGATACTGTGAGCAACATCTTCGGCGAAGCATGTGTCGTTCTATATTGCAATCTTCTTACAAAAGGCTCCCAATTCCCCTTATGTGCAGGGCAGTCTGGGGAGCATTGTTCCCCAGCGGAAGGAATTCCCACACATTATTCAACTGGCCCAACGATAGAACGGAAATACTCCCCGCCGCGACGATGACGACGATTACGACTACGACAACGACTGCGACTGGATTACGACTACAACCACGACTACGACTACACTTACAACTGCAATGACAATTCGAATCACGATTGCAACCACGCCTACAATCACGACTAAAACCACAACCATTGATTCCGTTTGCAATCGTCAGTAGAAGATGATCGCGAATCCTCTCGCATGCGGGGCAAGCCAACATTACCCAGCCCGCCCAACAATGGAAGGAACGTGGTCTCTGCCGCGCCGACGACAACGACGACGACGACGAAAACGGCGGGACAATAACGACCGCGAGGAGGAGCAGGAGGAGGACGAGGAGGAGGAGCAGGAGGAGGAGGAGGAGAGAGGAGGGGTGAGGATGAGGATGAGGATGAGGAGATGGAGGAGGAGGGGGAGGAGGAGGAGAAACATGCGGAGGAGGAGGGGCGAGTTTTATTCACCGCCGAGAGAATCAGGTGGGGGAGCAAACTGATAACCTTTAGAGGTTGCCCCAGCATCCATTTGTTTGAGGGCCCCGTCACCCCTTCCTTATATTACGGCTGGTGCCGTTCCCGACCCCCCTCCTGGCCCCCTCCTCGCCCCCCACCTCGACTGACATCCGCCACTTCAAAACCTGAATGGTAGATTGCCTCCAACGCCCTTCTAACTTCCCATCCCGAACTGATCCTGACCTCCCTCCTGGCCCCCTCCTGGCACCCTCCTCGCCCCCACATGGTTTGACACGCGTGCCCTCAAACGGTTCGCATTCTTCAGAGCACCCCTGCCAGCCTCCCGCAATCCTCCCACAGCCATCGCGTCTCTCCCTCCTCTTCCTACACCTCCCGAGCCATGCTTTTCCTCCTCCGCTGTTCACCTCTCTCTCACCCCGTCTCATCGTACCCCACATGCCCTGTGGTCGTCCTCAACCTCCCTTCATGTCAGAGTGGCACTTTTACCTCTCACCGCCATGCAGCGGCGCCATCTCCTCCGCAGCGAGGACGTTCAGGAAGTCAAGCAGCAGCCCGTCCTACGTCACGCGCGACACTTCTCCTCCTGTTCCCTCCCTGCCCCCGCCCCCCCCCCCTCTGGCTGCCTCCCCCTCCTCCTCCAACCAACTCCGGCCGCTGCCGCTGCCGTTCTACCTTCTCCTGCTTCTGCTGACCTTCTTGTGGCTCGCCATGGTCATCGCGTATCTCCCTCCTCTGATGGGTCTGTTTTCCACCACTACCACCACCATAAGTTGGAGGGGGGCAAGAGGTGGAAGACGATGAGGAGGAGGAGGAGGAGGAGGACGAAGAGGAGGAGAAGGAGGAGGAGGAGGAGGACGAAGAGGAGGAGGAGGACGAAGAGGAGAAGGAGGAGGAGGAGGAGGAGGAGGAGGACCCCCTCCCCCTTCAACTTATGGTGGTGGTGGTGGAAGACAGGCCCGTCATCCTCCATCCGCTCAAGTCAGGTCACTGCGGAAGCAAGTGCCAATCCCACTCGCCCCCAACGGCAGAACGGCTCAGGCCTCGACCTCCAGATCGCCCTGAGCCGCGAGACTCGGGCCGACCCTGGTGAGGAGTTTGGCAGGGCACCGTCCTCCCTCCACGAGCAGGAGGAGGAGGAGGAAGAGGAGGAGGAGGAGGAGGAGCAGGAGGAGGAGGAGGAGCAGGAGGAGGAGGAGGATGAGGAGGGAGGCGTCAGCGACCCTCTCCCTCCCCCTCCTCCCCTCCTCTCTCCCCAGAGAGCGCGCGGACCGCCGCGAGCAGGGAGGCCCGCGCGCCAGCGGCGTGCCGCCCGCCCACGCTGCGGAGGCCGCTGCCCGTGCGCTCCCCTTCCGGCCTGCCCCGTTCCCCCACCCGCCCCGGCCGGGGCTGGGGCTGGCCTGCTCGAGGCCGCGGGCCAAGAGGTCCGGGGATCGCTTCCCGGCTGACCTCGCTCCTCGGCGGGCCTCTCCGTCGGTCTTCCCTCACGGGAGAAGGCCTTGACTTTGGGTCGCGGCCGAGTGCGCCGGACACAGCCGTACCGCCGTTCGACGACGATCACGCATCTCCATCCCCATCCTTCCTCCTCCTCCTCCTCCTCCTCCTCCTCCTCTTCCTCGTCATCGTCATCGTCATCGTCATGTCATCATCATCAACATCACCATCAGCATCATCAGCATCATCAGCATCATCAGCATCAGCATCATCAGCATCAGCATCATCATCATCATCATCATCATCATCATCATCATCATCATCATCATCATCATCATCATCATCATCACCCCTCCTCCTCCTCCTCCTCCTCCTCCTCCTCCTCCCATTCGTCCGTCCTCTTCGTCCGTCCACTGAGCGTGGTGGAGCCGTGGATGGATGGGCAGGGAAGGCCTCCAGGGCGCGAAGCCTCTGCGCCTCCCCTCCAAGCCCCCCCCACCCCTTCGAGACGATCCGACCCTCCCTCGCCCACGGCAGGGATGCCGCACCGCTTCGGCGAGCGCGGCTGCAAAAGGATGCGGGAGGAGGAGAGAGGACGAGGACGAGGACGAGGAGGAGGAGAGAGGACGAGGACGAGGACGAGGAGGAGGAGGAGGAGGAGGAGGACAGCCTCTAGACCAGGCCCCTCAGCTCCTGCAGTTCGCTGGAGAGGAGGCTGACTGGGCTGATTGCGAGATGGTGTCCGCTGCGGCGCAACACCGCTGGATCGGGCACGAGGGCATGATGGCGCATTCGCTGGGCATAGGGTTTTGCCAGCCGACGTCCAGGTTGCGGCGAACAAAGCCAGTGGACAGGCAGACATCCCAAACATGGAAGTCTCCACGGAAGTAGCTCGGTTCTCGTGACGCCAGGCATCGCACCAGCCAAGCCTTTCACTTGACCGCGCCCTGTTGCTGTGAAAACAAGCGTCTTTGCGAAACTTGAAGTAGCACAGGCTCGAAATTCGGCAATATGCCAATGCCTCCAACAATAAAGCATCCATGCATTCAGGAGTTACACCGCGAGACCCAAGCTTCGTCATGGCTAAGGACGCGAACGAGGTGAGAAAGGGAAGATGATGACTAGGACATGGAAGGAAGAAGCGGAGGGAGACGGAAGCTCCAGGTCTCCGGAGATCAAAAGATGTCCCCGGAGGTCCAAGAGGCATCGGGAGGCAACAAGTATACCCCCAAGCGTCCGAACTCGATCCTCGACCCTCGAGGTTCGAGGACGGCACCGCTCGAGGAGGGGGCGGGCGAGGAGAAAGGCTCGAAGAGGAGCACCCCCCCACCTGCCGCGCAGGCTGCGGAGGCGCGCCTGTTGCATGCTGAGCCCCATCTGGTCGAACGGCCCCCTGCCGATGCCGAGCGCCTGCGGGCGCGGGCGGGCGGCGGCATGGCGCAGGGCCTCCTCCCCGAGGGTCGGCGGCTGTGGGGGGGGGGGGGGGGGGGGGCGGCCAGCTGACCATCACGCGGCCCCAGGCGGGGCCCGGCCTGGGCCCTGGGAGTTGCACGGCGGCTACACGCAGGAGAGGCCCGCAGGAGGCCCCCGAGAGGCCCACAAACTGTTCCCCAGAGGCCCCCGAGAGCGCTCCGAAGAGACCCGAAGAGGCATCCCTGACTGAGAGCTTTGGCCCGCAACCCAAGCACGGTGGCGGGATGGGCCGAAGGGCATTTCCTCACGGGCATCCGCGCCAGCCGAGGCAGGCAACCAATGCCGCCAAGATGGCCCAAGAGGCCTCCGCGGCGGCCAGGATGGCGCAGATGTCGTACCCCCCGCCGCTCCCCTGTCCAACTGGCGCAGCAGGGGGGGAGTGGACGCAACTGGACGTCTGCGAGCACTCTGAGGAGCTGCCGCTGGACGCTCCCGCGAAGGAGCGAGCGGCATCGCTTGAGGCTGCGCTCGCTGACTCGGCATCCTCGTCGACCTCTGCTGGTTTCGTCGACCTCTGTATCCTCCTCGGCATCTTAAGGATCGTGTTCGTCAACCCTTGAGCAGGGACCGACCGTCCCGACGAAATGTTCTTAGAACCCAGAAATGTTCGAATAACAGAAACAGTAGTCTTAGGACATAAGCCCAATGTGTTAAAACAACACAGTCTCAGCCAAACATGTTCTTATACTATTCTGTGCGAACCACAACAAGTCCCACCAGCCCTTTAGGGCGTAGGTGGTCTAGGGTGTTTGTCTTCCATCTGCCCCTCTTCCCCTTCGGGAAGGGTTTATCACTGCTCCCCATTACTATACACCCCCTCCCCCACCCGGCCGGCGTCCAATCCAGAACCATGCCGACCGACTCAATGAGGGCCCGCCCCCCCCGCCATCCATGCCTCCACATTGAGAGCATGCGCGGCCGCCCCGCGACCATTGTGAATTGGTAGTTTACAAGGGCGGCTAGGGTGCCAGCAGATCCCACCTGCCTTCTGGGCGCAGGTGGTCGACCGATTTGTTTGACACATCGGTGGCTGCTGCTTTTTCGCCTTATCGTTTCTGATTGGCTTTCGAAACCTGCAAAAGGCCCCAACATGTGTCAAGAAAGCTCCAAAGTTAGGCTCAAGAGGCTTCCAAGCTGGCCTAAAAACGCCCAAAATGGGCGCCAAAAGGGCGCCAAAAAAACGGTTTTGAAGGCCCCAGAAGGGGGGAGGCCTCCTGGTGGATGGCCCAAGAGAGCTCCAAGACGTGACCACGAAGCCTCCGAGACGGCCCCAAGAGCGCCCCAAGGTGGCCCAAAGATGGCCTCAAGAGGTTGTTTTGAAGGTCCCCGAAGTGGGGGCTAGCCCCAAATAGGGGGGCCTTCTCGTTTCCGACGAGCAGTTGCGGCGTACGGAGATGGAACCCCTGGTGGTGTCCAGTGGCTGGCGCACCTGGCGCGGCTGGAACGCGTGGAACACTGGGCGCACGTAGAGCACGTGCCGCACCTGGCGCGCTGGCACGCTTGGGCCTCCACTCCAGGGTCTGGTGCATATGGAACCCGTGGCGTTTGCAGCGCTCTCACGCAGTAGTTATGCTGACCCCCAGGTGTTACGTATGTGTTCGGAGGGCGGGGGAGAATGAGCTAGACGGCTTGCGGGCGGGTGGGTAGCTTAAACCCTCCCCCTCCCCCCTCCCCTGGACCTGGACGGCGAGAAGTGCCAGGGCGTCCAAAACGGCCTCGGCGAGGAAACCTAAATCACTGGTGTTACTAAGGTTTTGGCCCATGTTGGCCTCTTGGGGGACACCGCTAATTGAAGCTCCCCTTTTGTTTGATCGATGTCCCCAAGATTCCCAATAGCGCTTCAAGAGGGCCCCAAGAGGCGCCCAGGAGGCGCTCAAGAGGCCTCCAGGCGGCTCCTAAGAGACCCCCAAGAGGCCCGAAGAAGCTCCCCGAGGCACCCAAGACGCTCCAAGAGGCCTCCGGGACCGCCAAGAGGCCCCCAAGACGCTCCAAAAGGCCTCTACTGGGGGAACCTTCCCCTGCGTGCTGCCCACTTCCCTGATCGAGGCAACTCCTCTGGGCATCGTTTTTGGATGGGCCGGCGGGGTTACTTTTTAGTCAGCGGCCGCGGGCGAGCGCGCCGGCGGCGAGTCAGAACCGGTGGGGTTAGTTTTTTTGGTCGCGGCCGCGGGCGAAAGCGCAAGCGGCGAGTCGTGAGTCCGGGGCGCGGGCCTACAAATTGACAACAGGAACAAACAACCGGTGGGGTTACTTTTTTGGTCGCGGCTACTTTTTTGATTCGCGGCCCGCAAGGAAAAGTCCAGAGGGCGGTAAGAACGAGGCTGGGACACAGCGCGCGGGAAGCATATAATTAACGGCGCAGCACTGAGCCGGCCGAGAAGCAGCTGAGCGTGTGCCAGCAGCAAAAGAAACGCTGAGCATCTGCCAGCGATAAGGCCACAAACCGGCCGCTGATTGGTCGCGGCTACGCGAAGCGTCTAGAATTCTTAGAACATTCTTTGGTGACCCCAAAGGCGAGCCAGGACGCTTCGCCACTGTTTGATTGCCGTCTCATCGTCCGACCCCCGGCAGAAGCCGAAAGCTACGCACGCCCGACCGTCGCGATGTTGGCTGCAGCGACACCTGGATCTGGCCTGCCATGCCGATCTTCTGCGGGTGCGGCCAGGCCCCCCACCCTCTCCCCGCCAACCCGACGCGGGGCGCCGAAAGGGCCATCTCGCCGTGGAGCTGGCTGTGGACCAGGCTGTGGAACCTCGCCATCCCCGCCGCCGCCCCACTCGGAGGGCCCCGCTCTTCCTCCTCTAGAACGTAGCAAGGATGAGGATAACACCGGGTGCAGACAAATCGAGATTCTCTGGGATCTGGCGGCTCTGGAGGATGTCTCGGGCGCCGCGGCCTTCTAAGAGCGCTCCGGAACATTCTGAGATCGTTCCGGAACGCTCTGGACGGATTTGTCCTCGTCCTGGCCACGTCCGATCCTCGCCTCCTGCTCTTCGTCCCCCTCGTTGTCCTCGTCCTCCTCGTGGCCTTCTCCTCGGTCCCTCTGGGCCACCCCGACTGCGCGCCTCGCGCCCCGGCATGCGCGGTCGCCTCCGCGCAGCCGCGCTGCTCCCCTGGGGAACGACAGCTGTCTGGCCCAGGCCGCGACGCACCACACGCGACTACGCTCGCGCCCACACGATGGCATAGCTCCTTCCTCCTCCGTCCTCCCACTTGGACTTGAACTTGGAAACATTTCGGCCCGAAGTGGATCTAGACAGGCCATCCACAAGCTCGAAATCCGCACAACACACAACTCTCCCTCTCTCTCACACACAAGTCACACTGCCAGCGCGGCTGCCTCACACCAGAACGGATCAATGCAGGAGCTGTGGAGAGTGGCCCCCCCCCCGACAGCCTCCACATCCATCCTGCATCCAAGAGGAGGGTTCACAAATCATGGCCAGAGGCACGTGCGCGGACGAGGGAGGGACCAGGGTATGTCTTGAATTTAAGGACATGGAGCCATGAACTACCATGATACCCCCGCCCCACTGGAGCCCTCCCAAATGAATGTCGAGTGCGCACATGGGGTCGGAAGATCGAGCCGCCGGCGCCGCCAGCCTGGAGAGAACCGGGTTCCACATCGAGCCTCATCGGCGATGCATCGGCAATGCGGCGGCGCGATCCGACGACACCACCTGGTCAGACCCCATCTGGGAGGCCCAGCCCCACCCCCTCCCTCCTTTTTGGTGATCCTCAGAGCGTGCGCTGACGTCAACGCGTACTTGTTCACCGAACCCTCCAATACGACGCCAGCGGTGTAACACGGGCCGGCACAAGCTGCGCCGTGCCGGCGGAGCCGAACCGGGCAAGCACACATTGGGCCAACAACACGCGTTTTCAGGATCATCGACTCTTGGACGCCCCAGACACTAATCCATCCTTCGGCGCCCCCGAAAAGTGTGGTTTGCACAGGGTGTGGTCTGCAGCCTGCACCCTTGGGGGCACCCTGAGAAGTGGGCGAAAACCTCGACAGAGCTCTCCGCCGCGCCCCGAAGAGGCCCGACGAGGATATCGTCGTGTCTCCCAGGTCCCAGCGGCGCCGATCGCAGACCATATCCCAACGTAACCATACCGTGTGTAGTCGCCGACGTTCGCCGAAACATCCGCAAATCTGATTTTGTCAATCTGCGGCCCCAGAGGTCCCGTTCACCAGGGGGTGTTCTTTTCCCAGTTTAATGCTTGATGGTTTCCAGGCCCGATAACGAGCCCTGGGCGCCGAAATATTAGAAAAAAGCGCCGGCTTGAAAATTACCCCGCGACGTACCCAACGTATTTGCATCAAGTGACAAGAAGAGTTGGCCCAAACTTGCCAGGACAATGGCAAGGCAAGCTACGTGGGATGCTCCCACGCGGCACGATTCACAGGATAACAACAAAAGGACGAGGAGCGAGGACCCAGGCTTGAAAAGGCCATGGAAGCAGAACCGAAGGGCACGAAAAGGACGCGCGGGGGGCAGAACCGCCAGCGCGGCAACAGCAAAGGGAAGGTGACAGGGGGCAGAGGGCGACGACGACAAAGGCGGGAAGAGACCGAAGAGTGTTGTTTGTGTCGGTGGTACGCTAAACATGCAGCGCCGTTTGCGCCATGTCGCCGCAACGTTCGAACAAATGATGAAAACTGATTATCGTTTGAGCAAAAAAAACACCAAAGCCTGAATCGCCGGCCGGCTTCTCTGTTTTCTGCCTGCACATTTCAGCGCCGGGGCTAAACGCTCGAAGGCGCGCCGCCAGGTCTGCGGGCGGCCCGCGGGCCAGGAAATCCAGGACTGGGTCGCGTATCATTAGGAGGTTGTCCACGGTCGATGCCCTAGACAACATCACGTAAAGATGCAGCCGAAGGTCCCCTGGTGGGTTTTCCGCGTAAGGCGTCACTCCAGCGGACCCCTGGGCAACCCTCGAATGTGGTGACAATTTCCCAAATCGCAGCACCCAGGGATGGCGGGGTCTCGTGGTGGTCCGCGTAGGCCGCGAATCCAGTGGACCCCCCCGGCAACCCTCGAAAATGGATCGCAGCCCCACAGAGATGGCGAGGTCTCAACATACTTTGGGCAGGACGTCGATCCGCTGGAACCCCCACCGGTGTTTCGCAGATCGCAGACCCTCAGGGATGGCGAGGTCAAATTTGAATTTGTGTGGGGCGTCACTCCGCTGGACACCCCAGCAGCCTTTGAAAGTTGAGGCAAGTTCGCAGATCGTAGCCCCTCAGGGATGGCGAGGTCTCAACTGGATCTTTGTTTAACGTTACCCGGCTAGCGCTAGGCCCCCATAGAAGCCCTCGAAAAAGGCGACTGTTTCGCATATCGCAGACCCTCAGGGATGGTGAAGCCAAATTTGAATCCCGGTAGGACGTCACCCCGCTGAACTCCCAGCAACCCTCGAAAGTGGCGGCTGCTTCGCAGATCGCAGCCCAACAGGAATGGCGAGACTTCATCTGAATCTGGGTAAGACGTCACTTCGCTGGACCCCCCAGCAGCCTTCAAAACTGGTGACAGTTTAACAGGTCGCAGCAGCACCCTGGATGGCGAGGTCTCATTTTGACTCTGGGTTAGACGTCACTCCGCTAGACCCCCCAACAGCTGTCGAACATGGCGAGATCTCATTTGATTCAGATTAACACGTCACTCCGGCCCCCAGGCAGTCCTCGAAAGTGGCGACTGTTTCGCAAATCGCCACCCCCCAGGGATGGCGATGTCTCACCTGGATATGGATAAGACGACACTCCGCTGGCCCCCCCCATCACCGCTCGAAAGTGGCGTGAGCTTCGCGGGTCGCAGCCCCCTCAAGGATGGCGAAGTCTCAACTGCACCGAAGTAAAACGTCACTCCGCGGGACCACTCAGCAGCCCTCGAAAGTGGCGACAGCTTTGCAGGTTGCAGCCCCCCAGGGATGGCGAGGTCTCATCTGGAACTGGGTGAAACCTCGCTCGCTCCGTTGGACCCCCCAGCATTCTTCGAGAGTGGCGACAGCTTCGCAGGTCGCAGCCCCCCCAAGGATGGCGAGACTTCATCTGAATCTGGGTAAGACACGTCACTCCGCTGGACACCCCAACAGCCTTCGAAAATGGCGACCATATCGCAGATCGCAGGCCCCCAGGGATGGCGAGGTCTCATTTGAATGCGGGTCAGACGTTGATCCGCTGTGCCTCCCACCAGCCTTCGAAATTTGCGATAGTTTCACGGGTCGCCGCCCCCCCCCCCTTGGGACGGCGAGGTCCAATTTGAATTGGGGTAAGACGCAACCCCGCTTGACCCGCAGCAACCCTCGAAAGTGGCGGCCGTTTTTTTTTTTTTTTTTTTTTTTTTTTGTTTCTTATATATATATATATATATATATATATATATATATATATATATATATATATATATATATATATATATACACAGAACGGCGCACCGGGTCCGGGGGCCCGGGGCCGGGACCTCGACCACAAATGTGGGCCCTGGGGGGCCCGGAGGCTCGTCGGACCGCCGGACGCCGTCCAAGATCGTTCGCAGGCGGCTTCGGAACGCGCTCCGATGGCTCCAGATGCCTTCCAAGACGCCTGTCATGACACCAAGAAGGTCCCAGAAGCCTCCAAGACGCTCCGAGAGGCAGCCCAAGAGAGGCCCAAGAAGCAAAAATCGTGCCATTCCTATGGGAAAACGTATATTTTTCGCATGTTCGCCTCTTGGGCTTTCGCCGCGTCCAAGACGGCCCAAGAGGCGCCCAAGACGGTCTACGAGGCCTCCGGGAGCGCTCCAAGGCTGCGCACGAGTGGCCCAGGACGGCCCCAAGACGGCCGAAGAGAGCCCCAAGACGAGTTCGAGAGGGGTCCCAGACGGAGAAAGCCAACCTCGAATTCCGAGCTTCCGGCCCAAGAGGCTCCAGGAGGCGCCAAAATGCCGCCAAGAGGCGCCAAAAGGCTCCCAAAAGCACCCCAAGACGTTCCGAGAGGCACCCCAAGAGAGGTCCAAGAAACAAAAATCGTGCCATTCCTATGGGAAAACGTATATTTTTCGCATGTTCGCATCTTGGGCTTTCACCGCGTCCAAGACGGCCCAAGAGGCCTCCAAGACGGCCTAGGAGGCCTCCGGGAGCGCTCCAAGGCTGCGCACGAGTGGCTCAGGACGGCCCCAAGACGGCCCAAGAGAACCCCAAGACGACTTCGAGAGGGGTCCCAGAAGGAGAAAGCCACTCTCGAATTCCGAGCTTCCGGCCCAACATATCCCAGGAGGCGCCAAAACGCCGCCCAGAGGCGCCAAAAGGCTTCCAAAATCAGCCCAAGACGTTCCGAGAGGCACCCCAAGAGAGGTCCAAGAAACAAAAATCGTGCCATTCCTATGGGAAAACGTATATTTTTCGCATGTTCGCATCTTGGGCTTTCACCGCGTCCAAGACGGCCCAAGAGGCCTCCAAGACCGCCCCAAGACGGCCCAAGAAGCTTCCAAGAGGGCCCCAGGACAGCCCAAGAGGGCCCCAAGACGGCCCAAGAGGCGCCCAAGATGGCCCAAGAGGGCCCCAAGACGGGCCCAAGAGGGGGCCCAGAGGGGGACCACGAACCGCAAGCTCGAGCCTTCCGCCCCAAGAGGCCGCCAGGAGGCCCCAAGGAGGCCCCTCAAGAGGCCCCAGGAGACCCCCAAGAGGCCCAAAGGAGGCCCCGAGAAGCCCCAAATCGGCCCCCAAAATGCTTCGAACCTGCTTCCAGGAGGCCCCCGACAGGTTCAGAGGCTCCCGAGAAGCTACGTCAAACTCCCAGCGAGCGGCCGGACGAGGCCCCCCACAAAATCACAAGAGGGTTCCAGTATTTGTATCCTTCAGCGCTCTCTGGCCTTCTTCCCCCTGCCCCCTTCCCTGCGACTTTCGTTGACTCAAGCTCGCCTCCTAGCTAGAACCTACGCGCGCGCGAAGCGCGCGCGTGGTTCTAGTATATATAGATCGCAGCACCGTCAAGGATGGCAATATCACATCTGAATCAAGGTAAGCCGGCACCCCGCTAGACCCCCAGCAGCTCTCGAAGGCGGCGACAGTCAGTTTCGCAGACCGCAGCCCCCCAAGGAAGGCGACGTCTCATCTGGATATGGGTGAGGCGCCGCTCCATCGGACCCCCCAGCAGACGTCGAAAGTGGGGGCAGCTCCGCAGATGGCGAGGTAGGAGACGAGCTGGCAAAAGGGGGGAGAGGAGGAGGGGCAAGAGGGGGAGGGAAGGCGGGGGAAGGACGGAGAGAGCAATGCTCTATCTTCAAAACGAGAACCCAGCCAAGGGATGGCTGGGGAATTACGCCACCGATGACACCCACCTGCTTATAGTATGCCTGGAGTGACAATAGCTAGAATAAGCCGTGCGAGAATGACACGGGCGGCCGTCGCTGGCCGCGGTAGCCGACAACTGGATCTGCGAACGAAGTAGCCACCCACTGCAACTTCTGAAGACGCAGCGCTCGGTTTCATGGGGCTCGCGCGCGAGAGCCGCCGTGCCGAACGACGCTCTCGTTTATCATGAAACATCCCGAAGCCTCCGAGACTCGCAATGGATCGAACAGAGCCTGCGCCGCAGCGTCGAGGTAGCGCGTGTTCCCGAAGTTGGGCATGCAGACTGTCTGCGGGTGGAGGTTCGACAGGTCGTCAGTAACGCGGGCGAAGAAGTGGTGGGCCCTTTCGTTAGCAAACGAGAAGACGTCCACGCGGGCGAGGCCCATGGCTCTGAAGTCGTTCCAAGCAGAGAGAACCTGCGCAATGCGACAGGTCCTGGCGGGGTCAGGTCGCCGGCCCCCTTGGGCGGCTGGGCAGGAGGAACTTCGCCGCGCCTGGCCGCTCTACCAGGGCCGCCCGCCGCGAGGGGTGCGCGACGCCTTCCGCGCCGCGCAAAGCGACAACGCCACGATGCTCCGCGGCGGCCCCAGACGTTCATCGCCAAACGGCGACGTCGTTCAGCTTCCCGTAGAACTCCGCGCTAGCTCCACCGAGCAGGCCAGGCTGCGAGGCGGACGTGCGCATGGCAGGCACGTCCAGTCTGTGGGTGCTATCGTTGGTGGAGTACCTGTTGGGCGCCCTCCGCAAGTCGGCGTCGTCGCCACTTCTCGATGGTCGGTGCCCTGGATCAGCAGCTCGCCTCGCCGGGAATTCCTGGTGCCGTGTGACGGCGTTGGCGCCCGCTTGCAACGACAAGTTCTCACGCTGGGTTGCTTTTCGCAGTTCCCGCGACCGTGGCCCGTGCGACGAGCGGCAGTCCGTCTCCGCAAGTCCCGAGGGCAGCTGAATGCGAGACGCACCAGTGGACCAAACAGATGTAGCCAACAGAACTGCCGAAGACTGCTGCGGGGTCAAAACCTGCGCGGGCGGAGCCTTCGATGGCGCGGCCTTCGTGGGCGCGGTCTTCATGGGAGTGGCACGTCGTCCTGAGGAAGGCGCCCGGTCAGGGCCCGCGACGCCGGCTTCCTGCACTCGCCGAACCGTCGCTGGCGGCGGGCCGCCGCCCGCCCCATTCCCCCTGGGAACCTTGGAAGAAACGTCTCTCGGAAACCCGCCCGAAGAAGGGTCCAGTAAGTGCCTCGCCGAGCAATGTATCCTTGCATCGCCAGCGCTCGTTTACGCGGCTACTCTTCGCAATTCGTGACTGGCGCCTCAGGCCGCAAAATAATCGGCCGTCGGTGGCAATCATGAAATGCGCACTGTGCCAAGACGCCCCCATGCCTGATGACGTGCCCGCGCAAAACATCCAGGGCCACCTCAGCGCCCATCTCTAACATTGATTTCTTGGGCTGCTTGCGCGGCGGCGGCAGCGCGGGCATGGCGCGCGTGGGCGCCATGGCGGGGGCCGTGCGTTTGACGGAGAGTCACCGCCGGTCGCCCACGTTCACATACCCAGTGTTCTGAGCCGGCATGTGCCAGGTGGCTACAGTTCACGATGATGATGATGCTGAAGAAGAAGAACAAGCCACGCATGCAATGCCTGGACGACTGGGGCGCCTAGCGGCCGCGCTGAGGGACCACCCCTTGCGCAACTTCTACGGCATTGAGGACATGCTACGCGTGCTATGCCCTGGACGACCGCAACGGGTAGCGGCCGCGTTGAGGGCCCCCCCTGCGCACCCCCTACGTTGTTAAGAAAACGCTCCACCTGCGATGCCCTGGACGACCGAGACGGATAGCGGCCGCGCTCTAAGACCATCCCACGCGCACCCCTTATGGCGTCGAGAAAATGCGACGCCAGCTTTGCCTGGACGACCGTGGCGAATAGCGGCCGCGCTCAATGACCACCTCCTGCGCACCCCCATCGGTTTCGAAGATATGCCACGCCTGCTATGCGGTGGACGACCGAGACGGATAGCGGCCGCGCTCAGAGACCATCAGGCGTGCAACCTCTATGGAATCGAAGATATGCCACGCCTGCTATGCCTTGGACGGCCGTGACGGATTGCGGCCGCACTCAGAGACCATCCCCTGCGCGCCCCTTTATGGTGCCGGATATGGTGCCGGACATTGCCACGCCTGCTGTGCCCTGGACTACCATGACGAAGAGCGGCCGCGCTCAGAGACCACCTCCTGCGCACCCCCTTCGGTGTCGAACATACGCCACGCCTGCTATGCCAGGACGACCGTGAAGGATAGCGCTCGCGCACAGAAGCCACCCCCTTGCGCACCCCGTATGGTGTCGAGGCTATGCCACGCCTGCTATGCCGTGGACGGCAGTGACGGATAGCGGCCGCGCTCAGAGACCACCTCTTGCGAACCCCCTACGGTGTCGACAGTACGCCGCGCTTGCTATGCCCTGGACGACCGTGACGGATAGCGGCCGCGCTCAGAGACCACCAGCTGCGCAACCCCCACAGTCTCGAGCATGTGCCACGCCTGCTATGCCCCTGGACGACCGTGATGGATAACGGCCGCGCTCAGAAACCACCATGGTGTCGAACATGTGCCACGCATGCTATGCCGTGGACAACCGTGACAAATAGCGGCCGCGCTCAGAGACAACCTCCGGCACACCACCTATGGTGTCGAGGATACGCCACGCCTGCTACGCCCTGGACGACAGAGACGGATAGCGGCCGCACTCAGAGACACCCCCCTGCGCACCCCCTTCGGTGTCGAGAAAATGCCCCACCTGCTATGCCCTGGACGACTCGGGCGCATAGGGGCCGCGCTCAGAAACCACCCCCTGCGCACCCCGTATGGTGTCGACAATCTGCCACACCTGCTTTGCCTTGTGCGACCGTGACGGATGGCAGCCGCGCTCAGACACCACCCCCTGCGTACACCCTACGGTGTCGAGAAAATGCCATGCCTGCGATGCCCTGGACGACGGAGTCGGATAGCGGCTGCGCTCAGAGACGACCCCCTGCGCACCCCTTATGGTGTCGAGTGTGCATGTGTTTTGTTGTTGTTGTTGTTGTTGTTGTTGTTGTTGTTGTTGTTGTTGTTGTTGTTGTTGTTGTTGTTGTTGTTGTTGTTGTTGTTGTTGTTGTTTGTGTGTGTATGCGGCTGTATGTGGACGCCTATCTCAATGTGGGTAACGTATGATGCGTGTGCGGCTATATGTGCCCGCGCGTAACATGTGGATGCCCATTACGTGGCGCATAGGTCATGGGTGTATGATAGAATCACCACTCCAGGCGCGCACTGGCGTTGTATTGTGTGTGCGTGTGCGAGTGCGTGCATGCGTGCGGCTGTACGTAGACGCGTGTCTCATGTACGCGCCGTGCATTGCGCGTCGGTGCGGGGAGAAATGATTAGGAGGAGGGGAGGAAGGACGTGAGGCGTGAGGTTTGCGGGTGCGACGCGGGTGGGAAGAAAACCAGATCCCACCAAACATGCGAAGAAAAACATGTGTATATATATGTATGTATATATATATATATATATATATATATATATCCTCGGATCTCTGGGAATCCATCCTGGCCTGTCTTCCTCGCGTGATTACCGGGCCGCTCTGCGACGGCCCGGGCGCCCGAGCAGGGCCACCGCCCCGGGGCTCTAATCCCCCCGCCCGGCGCCGGAGCCCCGACGGCCGCCGAGCGGAGCCCAGGTCGAGCCCGCCCGGCAGCTGGACGAGCCAAAGACCCGCCGACCTGCTGGAGTCGAGCCCTTTATCGGCGGCGAGCGGGGGGGAGGACGTGAGAACGAGAAGGCCTCCTCAGGAGGCGGCGGGGCCTCTCAGAAGCCCTCGGGCCTTCTGAGGAGCTTCCTGCGTCTTCGGGAGAGGCTTGGGGAACTTCTCTGGAGGCCGAACCTTTTGAGAGGGCATCCTCCTGCTCACTTCCTCCCCGGGCTCGCCGCCGACTTTCGGCTGCCCACGCGGCGGCCGACCAGACTCGGACGCCGAACGGGCTCACAAGGGAACCCTGGGCCAGAGGCCGAGAGGGCTTCAGACGCCCGAAACGATCCGCGAAGCTCCTCTTAGGTCGGGCGTGTCCCCCTACAAGTGGATTTTGGATGAAAAATAAGAAATGCCCTCAAACATCGTCCCCAGCCTATTTTTTTTAAACTATTTTTGAATCTTTCTCCTGTAAAGGGATAGGCCCGAATGAAAGCTCCTCGACCTCGACCAAGCCCCTCGCCCAGGCGGAACGCGCGCGGGCTGAACAAGCCAGTGCCCAGGTCGAACGGCGCCGGGCCGCCGCCGCCCGGCAGGTGCGGCGGCGAGAGGGGCTCCGGCGGCGCCAGGAGCCTCGACGGGTACCCGCCGTGGGGAGCCTCGGCGGCAGCGGCGGCGACAGCGGTGGCGAGGGCGGCGAGGGCGGTGGCGGCGGCGGTTGTTGAGGCTCAGGGGCTTCGGCGGCGGCGGCGGCGACCACGGCAAACTCGTCGCCGCCGTCGTCGTTGGCGTCGTTTACGTCGGCATCGTCGACGTCGCCGCCGTTCTCCGGCTGTCGTCAGCGGCGTCGGACATCGTCGGCGGCGGTGGCGCTGGGGGTTTCGGACGCCGTCGACGTCGGCGGCGATGCCTGGGTTTCGGACGTCGCAGGCGGCGGCGGCAACTACGCCTCGGCATCGGGCGGCGGCGACGGCGGCGGCGGCGACGGATGCAACGACGGCGACGGCGACGGCGATGGCGACGGCCGCGGCGGCGACCACGGCGACAACATGCGGCGGCGACGGCGCGGCGGCGAGCCGGACCTCCCGTAGCGCCCGCCGCGCCGCTCGCTCGGCTGCGCGGGCCGCCGCGTGGGCTGCCGCCTTGGCGGAGCGGCGCCGCCGGCAGGAGAAGTCGTCGCCCCTCGCCCTCGACGTCGTCGTCCCGCCCTCGACGTGGCCGTCGGCCGCGCGCGCAGCTGCGCGCGGCCCGCACGCACGGCACGAGGCGGAGCCGACCTCCGAGCGGGGCGCAGCCCCCAGAACCCCGATGCGTGACGGCTTGGGCCCCGAACGTCTTGGAGGCACACAAAAAAACAACGGATTTGTGCTGGCCGCCTCTGCCCGCCCCCCACCGGCTGGCCATCGCTCGGACGTCCATTCCCTGTGTTTTCCTCGGTTTCGTGCGTGGTCTTTTCGCCAAGTGATCAAGGGTGCTCCTCGATGGTCCTCGCCGAGGAAGAAATGCACACGTCCGAGCGATGCCAAGCCTCTGCCCGCCCCACACCTGGGGGGCCGTTCCTGGGCCTTGCTGTCGATGTCGACGAGGTGCCGACACACATCAATCAACAGCAGCCAATATTCAATAGTGACCCCCCGCTGCAGTGTCTCAGCGGAGCTCTGGCGGCGGCGCACAGAGGCGGTTGATTATCCGCCACCGTGCCTGCGCGGAGTGGGCGCGTTAGATTTCTCGTCTGTTGTCTAGAAGGTTTGTTTTTTCTAGAGCCGATTCCCCCCTCCTCGCACGCATCTTGAGAAAACCGCCCCCCACTGCTTTTGCTTTCAGGCGCTCTTTTCCGACTTCAGACGGCGAAGATGGCTCTGACGACGGACTCCAAAACAGCCAAGATGACACTAAGACGGTCCAAAACGGCGTAAGAGGTTCCCAAATGGCCTCAAGACTGCTCGAGAGGCCTCCACGACGGCCCAAGAGGGCTCCAAGACGGCGGAGATGGCTCTGACGACGGACTCCAAAACAGCCAAGATGACACTAAGACGGTCCAAAACGGCGTAGGAGGTTCCCAAATGGCCTCAAGACGGCTCGAGAGGCCTCCACGACGGCCCAAGAGGGCTCCAAGAGGCGATTCTCGTCTGGAGGCCCTCTTAGGGCCGTCTAGAGCGGGAAGGCCGACGACCTGGGAAGTTGATGGGTCATCGTGGAGACGAACTTTCAAATTGTTATCCTCCTGGAGCGTCCTTGCGTCCTTCTTGGTGGCCGGCGGGTTGGGCCGAAGACTCCTGGGGAAGCTTTAAAAACCCAACATTCGGCACGCCGTGCACCCCTGTTGCAAGCCACAGGGGGCAACGGATCGAACACGCCTTCGGCGCGTAACCGCCAACCCCATGCCTTTAGGAAGCGCCTATGTGGCCGAACTTTGCGGCCAAAGCTCGGCCAAGCTATCAGACTATGTGTTCCCCCAGCCGTTGTGGAAACCACGTGTGGGGGAGAAAGAAGAAGAGGAAAAGACAGACAAGAAGAAGAAGGATGAGGAGTAGGCCTCTTGGGAGTCCCTTCGGACACTCTGTGAGCCTCCTAAGAGCGGCTTCTGGGAGGCTTCTGAGGGGCTTCCTTGAGCCTCTTGTGGGCCTTTGGAGGTTCCTCGGGAGGCTTTTTGGCTATCTGAGGGCGTTCCTGGCTCGCCTGACGCCTTCGGAAGCTGTCCTGGGGGCCTCTCTGGGCCAAGTCGGGGCCTTCTTGGGGCGCTCCAGGGCGGTCTTGGAGGCCGTCTTTGACGTCTTGGAGGTCTCGTGGGCCGTCTGGGGCCATCTTGAGGGCCTCTTGGGCCGTCAGAAGGCCATCTCTGAGGCCTCTTGGGCGCTCTTGGAACCATCTTGGCGGTCTCTGAGGCCGTCCTAGACCGTCGGAAAACTGACAACGAACAAACACCCAAATCCTTCGAACACCTTAGGAAAATCAAGGGTTCTGGCCTCTGCGGGCCTTCCTTGAGGTCCTCGTGGGTGCCTCTTGGGCCGTCTTGGGCGATAGTGCGGGCATCTTGGGGGCTTCTCGGCCCATCTTGGAGGCATCTTGGGGCCATCTTGGCATCTCTTAGGGCCATCGTAGCCGTCTTCGAGACCATTTTGGCCGTCTTGGAGGCTTTTTTAGGGCCGTCTGGAGCGGGAAGACTGGGAAATTGACGGGTCCTCGTGGAGGAAGTTTCCTGGTTTGTTTTCCTCTTTGAGCGTCCTTCTGTGTGGCCGGCGGGTTGAGCCGAAGACACTGGGAACCTTTGGGTCAGCAACTACCAAACACGTAGCACGCTGGGCAACCTTGTGGTAAGCCACAGGGGGAGTTGTATCGAAGATGTCTACGGCAAATCACCACCGCCCCATGCCTTTCAGGATACGCCTCTGTGACCGACCGTTTGGGCAACATTTGGCCACGCTATTTGACCATGGGTTCCCCCAGCTGTTGTGGAAGCCCTTCGGGAAACACGTGGGGGAGGAAACTGCGGGTGAGGAGAGGGAGGAAAACGGAGGATGAGAAGGATGAGGAGACCTCTTGGGAGCTTCTTCGACTATTCATGGGGCCTCCTGGGAGCTTCCTAGGGCCTCTTGAAGGCCTCTTGGGGGCCTCCTTGGGCCTCTTGGGTGCCTTTGGGCTGGTGGGGGCCTCTTTGGCCGTCTTACGGCGTCGCTGGCCCGTCTGACGCCATCGGAAGCCGTATTGGGAGCCTCTCTTGGCTGCCTTGGGGCGCTGCAGGGTCGACTTGAAGGCCGTCTTGGGCGTCTTCGAGGCCTCTGGGGCCAACTTCGGGTCCTTTGGGTGCCGTCTTGGGAGCCATTTGGGCCGTCCTGGGGCCATCTTGGACGCCTCTTGGACGATCTTGGGGCCGTCTTGGGCCGTCGGAAGGCAGCCCTGAAGCAATGCCATTTTTCAAACACCTAAAGGACATCAATGACTTTGGCCTCTTCGAGCCTTCCAGGAGCACCTCTTCGAGGCCTCTTGGGCTGTCTTCGAGGCCTCTTTGGCGGTGTTTGGGCCGTCTTGGGCTCTCTTGGACCATCTTGGAGGTACCTTGGGACCGCTCTTGGGGCCATCTTGGCGGCCGTCTTGGAGGCATACTGGAGGCCATCTTGGGCCGTATTGGAAGCCATCGTGGCCTGTGCGGCTGAGTAGCCGGCGGCATCGGCCGAAGCCCCAGGGGGAGTCTTAACAAGAACCGAAGACAACCGGAAGTTCAACACGCAAGGTAGACCTGTGATAAATCAACAGGATCGGCGGATCTAGTTGCCTTCGAATACCGCCAGCGTGCCTGGGTTGCAGGTCAGACGCACCTCGATTGTCGGTGGGGATATCTTGGGAGGCCTCTCGGTACATCGCCGATGTATCGGCCATATACCGCCGACGTCGCCGATGCATCGGCGACGCCGTCGCGGAGAAATTCGGATTTCACATCGAGCCGCATCGCCGATGCATCGCCGATGCGGCGCGATCCTCCGACCCCACCTGCTCCGACTTCATCGGGGAGCCCCAAACCATCTCGACCGCCCCGAGGCAGGGCGCTCAGGACGCGAGGCGCACGCACGCCGGCACACGTGCGAGCGGCAGCACCGCCACGAGCCGCAGGGCTGCCGCCGCGGTGCACCGCGGCCGAGCGGTTTGGGCAGCGAACACAGCGGACATCCTGGCGTCTCGAAAAGAGGCGGAAGATTTTCATCGATTTCGGCCTCTCGTAGCCCGTACCGGGCCTCGGGACCGTCAATAAAGGACTCGGGGCGAGAAACCCGGTCCCAGGAGGTGGTCGAGAGGTCGGGGGCCCGTGTTGCGAAACAACTCCAGACGCCGGATGTCTGGGACTCGCCAGCTCAGCGTCCGCGATGGCATATGAGATCGGAAGCGGAGGCTCGGGAACTCAACCGCCTACCAAACTCGGCGGCGGACTTGCACCAAATCTCTTCCACCTCCGCGAGGATCCGTTTAGTCACAACGTACTCGTACCAGATCGGGTCACGCTTGCAAGTTGGGCCTAGAGGACATATGTTGCACAACTCTATACCATAATTGCCTGCGCTTTCACACGCGCACACATCTAGGTTTATATATATATATATATATACACACCTATACGACCACCCTTCGGGTGATAAGGAGGTTCGGGGGGGGGAGGAACCAACGTCTCACTCGATCGGTCTCACTATCGATCCAACTATCGATCTCACTATCGGTCTCGCTCGATCGATATCACTCGATCGATCTCACAATCGATCTCACTCGATCTATTTCATTCGATCGATCTCACAATCGATCTGACTATCGATCTCACTATCGATCTCACAATATATCTCACATTCGGTCGAACGATCGATCTCACTATCGATATCACAAACGATATCACAATCAACGTCATCAGCATGATCAACATCATCGTCATCAACGTCATCAACATCATCATCAGCATCATCGGGAAACCATCATCATGATCACCTCATCGCCATCATCATCATCATCAACATCATCATCATCACCATCATCATCGTCATCAGGACACAATCATCGTCACCATCATCATCATCATCATCATCAACATCATCATCATCAGCATCATCATCATCATCATCGGGAAAACATCATCATCATCGGAACACCACGATCATCACCATCAGCATCATCTCATCATCATGATCATGAACAACATCATCAACATCATCATCATCATCACCATCATCATCATCACCATCATCATCATCATCAATAGCAACATCATGAACAGCATCATCATCGTTATCGTCATCATCAGAACACCGTCATCATCGTCACCATCATCATCATCACCATCATCATCAATATCATCAACATCATCATCAACATCATCGAGACATCATCATCATCAACATCAGCATCACCATCATTGGACCACCATCATCAAAATCATCATCAACGCCTCATCATCATCCTCATCATCATCATCATCATCATCATCGGGACACCTTCATCGTCAGCAGCATCATCAATATCATCATCATCATCATCATCATCATCATCATCATCATCATCATCATCATCATCATCGGGACACCATAATCATCATCACCATCAGCATCAACAGCATCATCATCAATATCATCATCATCATCATCATCGGGACACCATCATCATCATCATCATCTTCATCATCATTTAATCATCTGATCATCATCAGCATCACCATGATCATCAACATGATCATCATCATCATCATCATCATCATCATGATCATGATCATCATCATCATCATCATCATCATCATCGGGGCACCACCATCATCAGCAACATCATCATCATCATCATCGGGGCACCATCATCATCAGCACCATCACCATCATCATCATGATCAACATCGTCAACATCATCATCATCAGCATTGGGACACCATCATCACCACCATCACCATCACCATCACCATCACCATCACCATCACCATCATCATCATCATCATCATCATCATCATCATCATCATCATCATCATCATCGTCGTCAACATCATCAACATCATCAACATCATCAACATCATCATCATCATCATCATCATCATCATCATCATCATCATCATCATCATCATCATCATCATCATCGGGACACCGACGGGACACCGGCGGGGCACCGGCGGGACACCGCGCGCCACCGGCCCCCGAGCGGGACACCGGCGGGACACCGCGGGACACCGGTTGCCGGAAGGGAGACTTTTGGTCCGGCCGCGCCTCAGCTGCAGGAGACTTATTTCTCGCCCGCCCACGCAGCTTCGCCTCGCCCGCACGCACGGTACCCACGAACACGAAATCGAAACCGATTTCCCGGTAGGGGGGCTCTCCGTTCCACTTCGATCTCACCCCCTCACCTCCGACATATGACAGCTTGCAGCCAACGCAATCGAGCGCAGCATGAATAAAGCGCCCAGAGCTCAATCACACAGGAGGCGGATACAACAGGAGTGAGAGGCAGATGAAGAAGGGAGCATGGGGAGAGACGACGGGCAAACTGTTGAGACGTATCCAACCTGCTACGAGCTACTCAGGCTGGGTCCATAAGTGGTGGCACCCAGTGGATGAGGGGCTCACCGAACCAAACAACACAAGTCCGACCCGAGGCCAACTGCGCGAGCGGAACTGCCGTACTCCGATCATAATATGTCGCCATCTGGGCACAGTTTAGCACTCGCATGATCTTCAAACATTGCTGCACTCAACAATGAATCAACGGGCGCAACTGACAAAACCGCACCGGCTGGGGCCGCCGCGTCGTCGAGATCGTCGTAGTCGTCATCGAAGTCAGACTCGTCATCCTGCAAGATGACCGGAAGAAGTTGGCTCCAGAAAGAGAAAGGGAGAGAGAGAGAGAGAGAAAGGACATCACACCGAATCAATTTACCAACAAACGCGTCCACGATCATCGCCCAGAGTACCGTGCCAGGCACGGTACTCTGAGCCTGCCACTGCCCCGCCCTTACTCATCTTCGCTGTCAAACGCTGGTGTAGCTCAAGCCATCGGAGGAGAATCCGCAGAAGACGCCTGCACAACACCACAACGCCATGTGCGGTTCCATCCCAGGCCCTAGGATGGCGTGAGGATGGCATACGTGCATCCTTGCCTCGGCCTGGAGGGCGCATACATCACGCCAGGGCCTGGCAAGGCACGGTCATGGGCACAGCGCTTGCACTCGGGGGCTTCCTCCTCCCCCTTTGCTTGAGCAGCTGGGTGTGGTACGCCGAGGCTTCGCCTGGGGCCCGCCCATGGGCGCCTCGTGGGCGCCCGTGGACGCCCCGCGCGGGGGGGGGGGAGGTACTCTGAGGCCTCGCCCGGTGCCCACTCGCGCGGGCGCCTCGTGGACCGCCAGCGCTCAGGGCGCACGCCGCGGTCTCGCCCAGCACCCGCCTCGGGGGGCGCCCCGTGGGCGCTCGCGGAGGTCCCCAGCTGGGAGGGTGCGCCGAGGTGTCGCCCGGTGCCCGCCCGTGGACGCCTCGCGAGGCTTCGCCCGGTGCCCGCCCGTGGGCGCCACACAGCTTGCCCCGCTCATCTCACACCACGTGCACCACACCTCGATAATTCACCACACAGCACGCACTACACAGAACTTCAGTCAGCTTGCTCGGCCTGTCTCAGACAACACCACTCACACCACATAACCCACGGCACAACATACCTTGCACCGTGTAGCTCACACCACATAGGTCATGCAGCAGAGCTTACACAGCATGGCTTGCACAACATACTTAGCTTACACCACAAATCTTGCAGCGCATAGGTCACACCGCAAAACTCACGCCACAGACCTTACACATCATAGGGTACGTCGCATAGCTTACGCAGCATGGCTCACACAACATAGCTCACACCACATATCTCACGTCATAGCGTCATAGCTTACAACATGTAGATCACACCGCACAGCTTAGGCCGCATACCTTCCGTCTCCTCAGTGCAATCAATTGCTGTTTGGAATCTACGCTGGCTGACATGATTCAGATATTTCCTCCCTCCATCAGAACGCAGCTGGTTGAAGCAAGCCTACCTCAGCCTGTCTCTTGCGGCGTGCGGCAGCGAAAGCGAGAGAAACCCAGTGGGGGGAGGGGACGACGACCGCGACGAGGGAAGGACGGGGCGAAGAACCGTGCAGCCTGAATGGCCGGGACAGAACGTCGAGATGGTGGTGGTGCGGATGCCTCCCGTGGAAAAATGCCGCCGGACGATCCTCCTGCTGCAGCACTCTGCGCACGGCCGCGCCGGGCATCGTGAGCCGACCCTCCAGGGAGTCCAGGGAGGTCGGCAGGCGGCGGCCCGGTCGGCCGCCTCCACCTCCCCCGCAGGCTCTCCATCTGCTGCGCTGGCGCAGTCGTCGGCGGCTAGATGGCCGGCGGCCAAGCGTAAGCAGAAGGCCCCCTGTGCACCACCACAGTGCCTGGGCAGGGCCATCAGATCAGAAGGCCCGGGCATGGTGTGCAGGCCCTCTTGGCCGAGGCCAGGAGGGACTTGCACCATACCGAGGCCCAAGATGGCCCTGGCCAGGCACGGTGGCACTATCTAAATGCCTTCTGCGGAAATGACTGCCGGTCAAGCGAAGACACAACGCACACCATCATTCCTGCGCACGAGAACCCCCGCCACGCAAATGGCATCGGCCATGCTCTTGCCGTCGCGCGATCTCCCGCACTTCTCTGGCACGTGAGCATGTGAGGTGTGTCGAATATCACGCAAGTCAAGACAATAGAGACGCGAACACTTGCGGACGCATGACCCGCGACCAATCGAACCATCTTCGGAGTAGGGAAGATCACCGCTCTGACCGGCGCTTCGAGCCGAGTCCGAACCAGACCGCCGCGGCGAGGGATCCTCTGGCAGCCCGAATGTGACGCATTGTCCCCACGCATCAAACGGCGCAAAGTTAGGATGTGCGGCCGATGGCCCCGTCACCCCTCGCATACTCTCAGGGACTGGCTCACGAAACAGGCTGAGGATAGGTCGAAGGAGCAAGGATGCGAGGGCATCCTCATCCGCACTATGGGCGGCAACTGGACAATCTTGCGGGGCGCCTGGACGAGGAGCAGACGTCGAGCCGAGCAATTCGGTGATGCTAGTCTGCCCGTCTAAAGTTGGATTCAGCACAGCGGGTGACTAACGCGTACGAGGGCATGCTATCGCAAGGCGTATCCCACCCAGAGGAAGGGTAACCGAGAAGGATGCAGGGGTGTCCAGCTAAAGAAGCAAGCTCGAGGACCGACGAGGATCGAGAACTAAAACTTCAATCTCCCTGTAATTCTCACTCTATGGGACCCTGGGGGCTCCGGAAACATCCATAGCTCGGTGGGGCCTCGACAGTAGGCTAGTTGACTCGGGTCTGTATCAACTGGGGATGTTTGACCCGGCGGTAATTTGACCCAGGGTAATTTGACGCAATAGCTGTTTGATCCCGGGCTGTTTGACCTGAGGCTGTCTGAATTGGTGGTTGTTTAACCCGTGGCTGTTCGACCCAGGGTTGTTTGATCTGGGGCTGTTTCCCCTGGGGCTGTTTGCCCCGAGGCTGTTTCCCGAGTGACTGTTTCACCTGGATGGTGATTTGGCCCCGTCGGCAGCCCCTGGACTCCTGAGGAACCCTCAATACCCCCCATGGTTCCTGGGGGTTGTTCTGTCCGACAGCCGAGCTGAACGATCAGCAGGACCCGAGGACCCCTGAGGAATCCTGAGAGATCCTGAGGGGCCCTCAGGAATCCTCAGGAAGCCTGAGCACCCCTGAGGGTTCGTGAGGGTTGTTGAGGACCCCGCGGGAGTTCCAAAGAATCCTGAGGAACGCTGGAGGCTCCTGAGGAGTCGTAATTAAGGTATTCCTAAGGAATCGTGAGGACACCTGAAAGATCCTGATGAGTGCTGAGAAATCTCAAAGCCCCCCCTGAAGGACCCCTCTGCGGAATCCTGAGGGACCATGAGATGTCCTGAGTACCGCTCCCTGAGCGTCCCTGAGGACCCACCTGGGAAATCCTGAGGAACCGAATACCACCGCATGGGGGTTCCTGACGGAATCCTCGGGGATCGCATGGACTCCTGAGTACCCATGGGAGACCCTGAAGAGTGCAAAGGAATGCGAACCTTCGAATCTCGAAGAGTCGTGAGGAATCAAAGGGATGCCTGAATAATCTACAGAAATCATAGGGAATGCTGGACTCCTGACGACCTCCCCCCCTGCCTTGAAGAAATCTGGAGACCCCTGGGACACCTGAGGGATCCTGAGGTATCTGGAGGACCCAATCCTGAGGAACCCTGAGGGCCCCTGACGACCCATGAGGGGTCCTGAGGAATCGCGAGGACCGTCTCTGAGGAATCGTAAGGAATCTGAAAGAATCGTGGGGACCCGCCCTGAGAAATCCTGAGGAATCCTCAGGATTGCTCAGGGCGTGCCCTCATGATTCCCTTAGATGACCCTCAGTGAGGATTACTCTGTACTGAGGATCACTCCGCAGGGGGCCGCAGGTCCCCGCAGGCACCCGCAGGGGGCGTTTCTTTTGTAAACGCAAGATCTCCGATGTCTTGCATGTTGGGTCCCAAGAATCCAAGTGGAAAAAAAACGTTTCCTTCGCATCCCCAGTTGGAAAACTCCAGGCGCCCGACTCCCCGCAACCAAAGTCCCGCGCTTCGGCCACTGACCTTCAGTCTCCCGCTGTCGTTGTTTCTCCATGCGCTGTGTCTTCCGATGCCTTCTGATCCAGGACTGCTCGACCCGGCGGAGATGTTTGAGCCGGGTATGTTACCCTCGGGCCTGCTTGACCCGCGGCTGTTTGACCCCGGGCTGTGTGAAACCCCGCGGCTGTTTGACCCGGCGGCAATTTGACCCGGGGCTGTCTCACCCGGGGCGATTGACCCAGCGACCGCTGTTTGACCCGCGGGTGCAGCATCTGATCGGGTCAAACAGTCGCCCCCCCTCAGGAGGCCTCCCGTCCTGCGTCGACCTCCAGCGTCTTGTGGGCTCGTGGGCCCCAGACCTCTCGACCTCTACAATTTTCCTGCACGGAGTCAGCCCCGCCGGGTGGCCGAAATGCAAGAACACTGCGCCAGGACTGCACACCATCGGTCCGCCCGAGGTCTTGTGTTCCCCTGGGGTGTCCAAACTGACTACCTACCAGACCACCCCAACCCAACCCGAAGACCCCAATTTCGGGTTGGGGGGGGGTACGGGTTCCATATGTGTTTTTTCAGTGTTCCCCGACCCCCCCAACTGGAAATGGAGGTCAATTTGAGGCCTTCGGGTTGGGGTTGGGGTGGTTTGGTGGGTGGTGACAAACGGCGCGCCGCTTTGGCTCAGAGGCGTGTTGGTCGCGGCAGCGCGGAGGCCCAGGAGGCTGGCCGCCTGTGCGGCTCTCGCTCCGGCGCTCCCCCGGGGCATAGCAAGCTCGACACCACCCTCGGGATCGCATCATCCTCGAGGCTGCTTTCGACGATCCTCTGAGCATGTGTTGGCGCCAACGTCTGCCGTCAATGCGACGCAAGCGGCATCATGAAAGCCGACACGGGCTGCGTGCTATCGCCCAAGCCGAGAAGGATGAACACACGGTGGGCTAACAGACGTCCTGAGGGCCATCGATGCTTCTGGCCAGGCCACCAGCGCCCTGAACAAGTCATCGCGGACCTGGCTCGCCGCTGTCGGGACCCTGGGAGGGGGGGGCGTAAAAAAGCAGCTGCTCCCGGAGAGTGGGTCCAGACAGCGATGCCATCCGTCTTCTGCCTTACGCACCTGACCCCGGGGGCGTGGGAGCCTCCGTGGCCTCGTTCCCCAGCGGGCTGAGACAAGTGGGGTCGCCTCCCCAGACGTCTGCCGTCTGCTGTCCCCTGCGACCTGTACGGTGGCACAACGCTGCACTTCGTCTCAGTGTCGCTCTCCTCGTTCTCCCTGATCCCTGACGTAGCTTGGTTGCAAGGCGCGTCACCTCTCGCCGCCAACTCGAGGCTGGTGTAAAATGAAGAACCGTAGACGGCAGCACCAACCACAGCATTTTGCTTCGACCGGTACTTCGCCACCGGGTTCATGGAGAAGGCGCTCCTTTGCAATACGTCGGCTTCGGCATCGCCTGTTTTCGATGCTTTGCCTCCTCCCGGCCTCGTTCTCAGGCTGCGCCCCCCTTTTCCTCCCCCATCTCTGATTAATTCAAGCTTCGCGCGGCCCGCTTAGCTTCGACCGGAAGAGGTGCGCTCTGGACCCGCGGATCAAAAATTGTTTCGAGCCCCGGGCCCCCGACCTCTCGACCACCTCCCCGGGCCCGGCTTCTCGTCCCGACTCATTCTGTTGACGGTCCCGAGGCCCCCCCCAGTAGGGGCCCCGAAAAGCCGAAAACGATGAAATACTTCCGTCTCAATTCTTTCGAGACGCCAGGATGTCTGGGTCCTCCTCCTTCTTCTCCTCCTCCTCCTGCTGCTCCCCCTCTTCGTGAGTCCCTGCCAGCTCCCGTCTCGAGTTCGCCGACACGCCAGGATGTCTGGGCCTGGAGCAGCACGTCTCGACGCACTCGCGCGGCCGCCTCGAGCAGCCCGCGAGGGCCTCGGAAGCCCGGCCCCTCTGGTAGGGGGCCACATGCGAACCCTACCCCTACCCCCCACGATTTCTGAGGGGGAGGGTGGGGTTCACTTCGCTCGGGAGCTCCCGAGCGAAGTGCTCTGAGGCGAACCCTACCCCTACCCCTACCCCCCACGAAGTGAACCCCACCCTCCCCCTCAGAGATCGTGGGCCCCCCACCTGGACCTCCCTGGGGCCCGCGGCTCGAGGAAGCCCACGCCCGCCGGAGGCCTGGGCCCTGGGCTGCTCCAGGGCGCCGCCCGGGGACGCTCCTGCCTGGGCCGTCACGGGCCCCTCGGTGCCGTCGTGAGTGAAGGGGCCCCGGGACACACACAAATAAGTACACACAAATAGTATATGCCCCATACTTTCGCATACTTTCTGGGTTTCTGTCTTCCCCCCCACTTCCCATATTTTCCCATATGTTCTGAGGAATCGAGGATTAATTGTGTCTGTGTATTTTTTCCCTCTCATGAGTGAAGAAGAAACGCCATAGACATACACTTTTGGCGCTCCGCGCGGATTCCTTCGATCTGCGCTGGACCCCCCTCCCTGGCGCGCCGAGCGCGCTAGGCGGCGCCGCCAAGGGGGGGGGTCCAGCGCAGATCCAGGAACTCCGCGCGGAGCGCCAGAAGTTTCTATGTTTACAGAAATGCCTCTTCTTCGAGCCTCTTCGGGGCCCCTCTGGACCGTCATGGACTCCGTCATGAGCCATCTTCCCAGGCATGCGACGTCCAGATTTGTCAATCTGGACG